ATTTACCAAAAATTGAGAAAAATAGACGCACGACTCCAAAAATTTCCGAGTCATTGAATAATGACAATCCTAGAAACGCCATATTTTTTTCATCAATGGGATGCATTATGGTTTCCCATAAATTTACAAAAAAAAATTAATTATTGCAAATTAATTTACCTCCGAACAGTCAAGAGGTACTCACAACAAATTAACTATTACCAACGAGACCCGAATTAAATTCAATTCCAAAGATCATAATGTCCTCCTCCTACCCTGGCCCTTGGTCATCCCAAAGATCATAATGTCCTCCTCCTACCCTGGCCCTTGGTCATCCGAACCCTCTCCGGTCACCCCCAGATATATTTTTCACCAGATATATTTTTCACCAGATATATTTTTCAGTAACAAAAAAATAAATATTCCTAAATTCTAAATCCGTAAATTAGCAAAATCATCAAGAGTGAATTTTGCATCCAGTAACAACGCCAAAAACTGGAGTAGGATAGGGTGAAATAGATGAAATTTGATGGGGAAAAAAGAGGGAATGATGTTTATTTAGAGTGAGAGCCGAACGAGTACGAGTGAACGAACGTTTCGCCCGATTGAGCGCATACTCGCGACTCGAGAGGGCGGCAATCGGTTATGTCACCTAATGCAACGATCCCTCTCGCTCCTTAGGAGCTCATTTATGCGATTCGCGGGCGTTACACACGCCGTTAGGGACATTATACTACGCAGTATGCCAACTTTCAACCGGTTATACTAACAATTCGCTATTTATCATTTATCATTTATTTACTCAACGATTCTCATTAATTATACCCACCCAATGAGGATTTCAATTAATTCACCAAGGTTTCTAATTACAATAAAGCCTAGGTTAACCTTTAATTAATAGCACATTCTTTTACATTTTTCCACCCTCCGGTAATTGTCGGTCAAATATTTGAGATATTGCCGTAAAAATATATATATGTCGGCTAGAATTTTGGGATTATATCTGATTATGTCCGGAGGATTACCGTCTGGTCATTTATCCCCATTTTTTCTCCCTCTTTTTATGATTTTTATTAATTAAAAAAATTGATTAGCCGGGTGGTAGAGTGGAGATAGTAGGGATATTGAATTTAATTGAGTTTTCAATAGATTTAGGAGTCCAGAAAATGGTTGCCTGAATTTTCGCAATTTTCAATAATTTCTTAGCGGTGAAATGTGCATTATTCATGGAAATTTTTCGTAGTTGAAAATTTACATGCTTCATTTGAAATTTCAAGAGTATTTTCCAAATGGGTACGAGGGAAAGCCAGCGAGGAGAGTACCACTGGGGCAATGGCACTTGTCACAATAAGTCAATTGTGCAGGATTCGAAACGTGAGAAAATGAGGGAAATTCAGATTTATCTCACCCAAACATTTGAGATTAAATTCAACAGCAGCTCCAACCGAGAGATGATAATGCACTCGGATATCTCTCAACAACTGCCCGAAGTCATTAACCGTTACTTCTCAATTAAATTACTTGTGAAATGTTTATCATAAAGTCAATAAATTCCCAAAAGTGTTTGTTCTCACTGAAAGAAATTAATGCAGTCAGAAAAAAGTCAAATTCGGGGATATACTCTCAAAATAATTCTGTGACAGAAATTCCTTCGACTTCCAATTTAATTCCATTAATTACCATTCCCAATCAATAATTTATAACAACTAATCAACACTTCACACTTAATTTAATAGTAATGAAAAATATTCCCAAATCCGAGTGTCAAAATTTCCCGATTTTCATGGACAAAATTGTCCCGAATTATAAAAAAAAATCTGAAAAAATGAGGGACAAATCGGTGAAAATAAAGAATATTTTTTTCTGCACGAGGTGGATTTTTCTCTCTCCAATCACCCGAGAAAATAAATAAACGCGGTAGAACGGAATGCACGGTCGGGGGGGAAATACCGGCGCAATGCGAGCGGTCAATGCTCGACTGACCCCAGGAGTAGTAAAAGTGACACACAGTTGAGAATATTGTACACCAGGAGAACGAGTACACAATTGCAAGAAAAAAAAAAGAAATACATAAAAAAAAAAAGAAAAAAGTTCCATTTACTCCCCGCGAGAATGACTGAAAACGCCCAGTGCGGTGTAAAGTGTCAATGGCGCGGTTGACATATGCGGTGGGAGGGCGGGTGTCAAGACGAGAGTTTTGCCTTGCCATTCGTCTTAAGTTTCGCCTGATGCCTGCTAAATCGTCACAGCGACAACAATAAATTCCTGAAATAACACGGAGTTGGGTACACGTGAGAATCCACGGAAATTACTGGAAACCGACGGCGCGAGAGAAGAAGCCTATAAAAAAAAAAAAATAACGAGGGAAACGACCTGTAGCCACAATAGTGGTTGGAGTTAGTAATTGCGTCATACGTGCGCAGATACCTACACCCAGGATCACTGTCGCTCTCGGTAAACGCAGGTCGTAGCCCTCAGTCGTTTTATATTTTTCTTCTTTTTTCCTACCTCTCGCTCCCGAGGTCCATCGCGCCACACGCGTGTCTCTCGATCAGAAAATTTAGAATTTAGTAAAAAAAAAAAAAAAAAAAAAAAATTAAAGAAACTCAGTGGATGTTGCCTACAAGTGGTCTCGCCATGGTGTTATGATTTTCTTCATTTTTGCGATTTTATTCGAAAGTTCTGGTGCTCATCAGCTCATCATCTCAAATGTGCAACTT